GCAGCGTTTGGGGTCTTCGGAAGGTGGGTGATGTGTGAATCTTTTTCGTTTTCTGAACGTGGAAGCCTTTCAACACTGCTTTCTTGGCCTTCAAAGCTTTGGCTTTGGCTTCAACTTTGGGAGGGGCGGGGGCTTCCTTCTTGGCCTTCGGGGCCATCTTTGTAAAAAGCTCAAGGTCACTCTTTTTTTTTTTTTTTGCTTTTTGGGTCACACCCAGCAATGCACAGGGGTTACTCCTGGCTCTGCGCTCAGGAATTACCCCCTGGTGGTGCTCAGGGGACCATATGGGATGCTGGGAATCAAACCGGGGTTGGCCGCGTGCAAGGCAAACGCCCTCCCCGCTGTGCTATTGCTCCAGCCCCTCAAGGTCACTCTTGACGCGATCAGGGGACATGTGTGGTGCTGGGGGTCTAGCTGGGCTTGGCCGCATGCAAGGAAGAGCCCTCAGCCCTGGACTATGGGTCTGGCCCAGAAGTCAATCACTGTGAAGCCCGTTTCACCCTCTCTTCACCTCGACTCCCTGGGCCTTGCCCCTCCCCCCACCCCCGGGTTTCCAGTCCTGTGAGTCCCGTCGTCGAATCTCTCTCTCTGTTTCTCTAGATTCCACGTCTGAGGGAGGTCTTCGTGGCGTTTTCCTCTTGCTCTGACTTGCGTCACGTCGCAGGGCCCCGTCCGATTTCATCCAAGCTGCAACAAGCTGCAATCCTGCTGTAACGGCACAAGGAGCCCCGGCCAGTGGCAGGAAACCACACAGGGGCCGGTGGCCGTGGACCCTCCCTCTGCGCTGGGCCCAGGGACGAGCCCGCTTCCCAGGAGGGGCTGTGTCCCGGGTCCGGGCTCTGTCGCAGGTTACTCCTGCTGTGTAGTGCTCCGCAGTTTAGACTTTTTCATTGATTTACTTTTTGTGAAAGGAAAGTGGTGAAGGGTGAAGGGAGTTGAAACATTGTATGATTGAAACCAGTCACGAGCAACTTTGTAACGGTGTATCGCACTGTGCATAATCGGCATTAGAAAACAAATTTTCTAACGATGTCTTTGTGGCAGGGTCTGAAGGTTGGGGAAAATTCCAAATAACAGTGGTGGGTCTTTTGCTGTAATATTGAATGTGATCAACATAGAGAGGGTAAAGTGGAAATCTGCCACACAGGTGGGAGGTGGGAGGTGGGTGGGGGGGGGATACTGGGGTTCTCGGAGTTGGAAAATGTGCACCGGTCAAGGGACAGGTGTTTGATCATTGTATGACCGACCGAGACTTGAACTGAAAGGCTTTGTGACTGTTCTCACGGTGATTCAACAAATAAATAAAAAAAAATATATAAAAAATTTAAATAAAAAAAAGTGGCTTTTTAAATTTGTTTTGGGGAAAGGATGTTGGAGAGGATTGTACCACATCCGGTGGTGTTCAGCGCTCACTCCCAGCTCTGTGCTCAGGGCTGACTCCTGACTCTGTGCTCAGAGTCACTCCCAGCTCTGTGCTCAGGGCTGACTCCCGGCTCTGTGCTCAGGGCTGACTCCTGGTTCTGTGCTCAGGGCTGACTCCTGGCTCTGTGCTCAGGGATGACTCCTGGCTCTGTGCTCAGGGATGACTCCTGGCTCTGTGCTCAGGACTCACTCCTGGCTCTGTGCTCAGGGACGATTCCTGGCTCTTTGCTCAGGGCTGACTCCTGGCTCTGTGCTCAGGGCTGACTCCTGGCTCTGTGCTCAGGGATGACTCCTGGCTCTGTGCTCAGGACTCACTCCTGGCTCTGTGCTCAGGGACGATTCCTGGCTCTTTGCTCAGGGCTGACTCCTGGCTCTGTGCTCAGGGCTGACTCCTGGCTCTGTGCTCAGGGCTGACTCCTGGCTCTGTGCTCAGGACTCACTCCTGGCTCTGTGCTCAGGGACGATTCCTGGCTCTTTGCTCAGGGCTGACTCATGGCTCTGTGCTCAGGGTTGACTCCCGGCTCTGTGCTCAGGACTCACTCCCGGTGGTGCCTGGGCACCTTGCCCAGGAGTTCTAGGTCTCCACCTTAAACAAAAGCTTTATTGAGAGGATAATAATCTTAAGGAGAATGTAGGGTGTGGCTATGCCTGTGCGTTTGAGAGAGGAGAGAGGGAAAGAGACAGAGAAAGAGGGAAGGAGAGAGATGGAGGGAGGGAGGGAGGGAGGAGAGAGGCCATGAGGGCGGCCGGGGAGGCTGTGGCATGACGGGGCGCTGCTGTACGGTGGTAGCGGGTGGCCCCCCAGACGCAGTGTGCTGTGAAGCACAGAAGTTGCCTCTGAGCTGGACATGGTGGCCCCAAGTGCAGGGCCGGCGACGTCTGTCCCGACTCCTCTCTGCCAGATGAGGGAGGAGGGAGTTCGAGGCCGAGGCCCAGACTCAGCATCCAGCACGCCGGGGTGGGGTGGGGCCTGGTTGGCCCCCAGCCCTGCTCTGCACACCGTCCCGAGCACTGTTCCATGAGGGCCGGGGTGGGGACAGAAGGGAAGGCCCAGAGGGCAGAGGGACAAGCCCATCCCTCCTAGCCAGAGGGCTGCCCCCAAGCTCTGCACCCCCTTTGTTCCTCATTCCAGCCCGAGCACATCCCCGGAGAGCAGTACGCAGGTAAGAAGGCAGTTCCTGGTGCGGGCTTCACTCTCAGGGGGCCATGGAGACTCCTGCCCCGCCCGGCGCACCCAGCTCCACGCCCGCCAAGCCCTGGTTGGTGTTAGTCAGCACCCCGGGCTGCAGGTGCCCAGACCCCATCCAAGCTGGATTAACAGGGAAGAAAAGGGGCCGATTTCCGGAATCGTGCAGTGACCGAGCCCAGAAACCTGCCCCTGTGCCCGGCTCCTTCGCTCCTGCCTCTTTCCTCACCCGGCAGGAAGCGTCCCCTGTGAGTTGGGCAAGGCTCCCTGCCGTTGGCCCAGGGACATCCGGTCCTGAGGGGGGTCTCAGACTCCTTCCTGGCGGAGAGTCCAACTCCTGACGGGGCTCTGCAGCCTGGGGCTGGCGGGCGGTGGAGGTGGTCCAGCAAGGGGTCAGGGGTCATGGGTGTCTGAGAGCTTTCTGGAACTGGGGAGCCAGCGGGACCCTGGGCTTCCAGGGGAAAGGAGAAGTCGGAGAAGGACCTGGAACATCTGACCGCCTAAGGGTGGTCTGAGCTTCGACAGACCCAGCAGGAAGCAGGCCCCCTCCCCAGAAAAGCAGAGCACTGTTCTCTCAGGTGTGACTGTGGTCTGCGGACCCACGTGCAGGACAGAGGCCTGACCACAGGCACAGAGGTTGAAGGTTGTTCTAGATGTTTCCAGTTGCTGGAGAGACAGCACAGGGCTTAAGGCACTGGCCGTGCATTGTGGCGGATCCTAGTTCAGCCATTGGGTCCCCTGAGCCCTGCCCGGAGTGATCCCTGAGCACTGTCTGGAGTGATCCCTGAGGCCTGCCCAGAGTGATCCCTGAGCTGTGCCCGGAGTGATCCCTGAGCATGGTCTGGAGTGATCCCTGAGCACTGCCCGGAGAGATCCCTGAGCCCTGCCCAGAGTGATCCCTGAGCTCTGCCTGGAGTGATCCCTGAGAACTGTCTGGAGTGATCCCTGAGCTGTGCCCGGAGTGATCCCTGGGCACTGTCTGGAGTGATTTCTGAGCACTGCCCAGAGTGATCCCTGACCACTGTCTGGAGTGATCCCTGAGCCCTGCCCGAAGTGATCCTTGAGCCCTGCCTGGAGTGATCCCTGAGCACTGTCTGGAGTGATCCCTGAGCAATGTCTGGAGTGATCCCTGAGCCCTGCCTGGAGTGATCTCTGAGCACTGTCTGGTATGCCCCCCATTAAAGGGGGGCTGGCTGAGACTGGGGGTGGCCTGAGGGTCAGCGTCATTACTGAGTGGCCCACAGGAGGCTGGAGAGGCGTGTACAGGCAGGAGAACCTGTGGAAGTAGCTGCCGGGTGGACGGAGGCTGTGGACAGAGGCTCCCGGTGTCCCGGGGAGGCCCGGGCCCGGGCTCATACTGTCCCTGCGCAGCCACGGAGGGGCCAGTGAGGGGCAGTGAGGTCCTGAGAGATGCACGAGAGAGTGAGAGAGCGGGTGCATCAGCTCCCGCGTCACAGGCGGAGAAGCAGCCAAGGACAGGCGGGGAAGGCGGGAGAGGGAAGCCAGGCCTCCGCTCCTCTCCCCGAACCCTCCCGATCCCTCCTGCCTCTCGGGGGCCAGGACCACACTCTGCTCTGGCAATCAGTCTCCCTTCGAAAAGGAGGATGATCGGGGAGACTGAGTCGGCCTTGCCTGGGTGCCACCAAGGCTGCTGAGCGGTGGGAGTCTGCCCCCTAGTGGACAGATGCGCCAAGGCCTGGTGTGGTCAATGGAACCTTGGGGGCAGAGAAGGTTCTAGAAGCTCACAGGGGTCCCAGTCTGATGTCCAGCACCCTGCCAGGGAGGGAGGTGGATAGGAAGACGACCTGGGACTTCGAACCCAGAACTGACGTCCAAGCCCAAAGTCAAAGGCTCCTGCCTTGCTCCCCACCGGGACAGCCCTGGGCCCCACAGGGGACACGGGTTGGCGGCCTGCGGAGAGGCAGCAGTGGGCAGGTTCGGCCGGGGCGGGGGGGGGGGGGGGGGACGGGGCGAAGGCCTGAGGCACGCGACCCCTGAACAACAAAGCCCGGCTCCCCACCCCCCACCAGGGCCCCTCAGAAGCTGAGCCGTGGGGGCCCGTCACCCCTGGGAACAAGCACTGGGCCGGGGGTGTCTCAAAGCCGGAGACGCCCTTGCTTGGGGCTGGGCCTGGGGCGCCCCAGGCCCATGGGCAGCTCCGGCCCTGCCTGTGCCCCTTGCTGGCCCCGGCCAAGGACACGCTTGGTTCCGCAGCTCTCCTGGGACCCGGGTGCGACGAACGGGAAGAGCTGAAAGTGCTCGGAAATAGCTTCACTGGCTCGGAAGACCTCTGCGTATCGAAATAACATCCCTGGCACTGTGCACTATTAAATCACAGCGGCGCTTTATTCACCCACCGGGACCACCCGGAATATGCACTCGCCAGAGGAACACGAGACGCGACGGAACTGAGGCTCCACACCAGGACGTCACTCCTGAGGACACGGAGGTTCTGAGACGGGCTCCACTGGGCGACGCTGGCATCCCCAAGCACAGAAAGCACTGCTGCACCGGGCGGCAGGGGCGGGCCCCGCAGCCACCGGCCCTTGGTCACGGCCGCCACCCCCGGTCAGCAGTGCGGCGGCTGGAAGAAGTCCACGCCGCGCAGCTCCTCGGGCAGGTAGTCCTGCTGCACGGGCCCGCGGGCGGTCGGGTTGTAGACGTAGCCCCGGCCGTAGCCCAGCTCCTTCATGAGCCGGGTGGGCGCGTTGCGCAGGTGCAGCGGGACGGGCGGCAGCGGCCCCGGGTGGCTGCGCACGCAGGCCTTGGCGCTGTTGTAGGCGCGGTACACCTCCACCGACTTGGGGGCCCGCGCCAAGTAGACCACGCACTGGGCCAGGAGCACCTGCGCCGGGCACGGGAGAGGGTGAGAGGAGCGCTGCCAGGGCCCCTCCTGCCGGACCCAGTGCCCCCGCCCGGGGGGCGCTCTTGCCTGGGGGGGAGTGCTCCCGCTCAGACCCGAGTGCTCCCGCCCGGCCCCTCCTGCCTAGGGGGGAGTGCTCCCACTGAGACCTGAGTGCTCCCGCATGGGCCCCTCCTGCTAAATGCTCCCACCCAGACCTGAGTGCTCCCACTCAGACCCCTCCTGCCTAGGGAGGAGCTCTCCCACCAAGACCCGAGTGCTCCCGCCTGGGGCCCTCCGCCAGCCAACTGCTCCTGCCCAGACCCCTCCTGCCTAGGAGGTGTGCTCCCACTGAGACCTGAGTGCTCCAGACCCCTCCTGCCTAAGGGAGAGTGCTCCCACTGAGACCTGAGTGCTCCAGACCCCTCCTGCCTAAGGGAGAGTGCTCCCACTGAGACCTGAGTGCTCCCACCCGGCCCCTCCTGCCAGCCAACTGCTCCCGCCCAGACTGAGTGCTCCAGCCCGGGGGTACTCTTGCCTAGGGGGGGTGCTCCCACTGAGACCTGAGTGCTCCCACCCGGCCCCTCCTGCCAGCCAACTGCTCCCGCCCAGACTGAGTGCTCCAGCCCGGGGGTACTCTTGCCTGGGGGGAGTGCTCCCACTCAGACCTGAGTGCTCCCACCCGGGGCCCCTCCTGCCTGAGATCTGAGTGCTCCTGCCTGCCCAGCCGGGCCCCCTCTATTCCCACAGGGAGACCCTTCAGTCCCGGGGCCGCCTGTGCCCAGCCGTGCCTGAGCACACCCTCGGGCGCTGCCGTGCGTGTGAGCGAGCAGGAGACCCCCGGGGCCGGGCGCCCAGATGGTACCTCGCACTCGGGCATGCCGATGAAGTGGCAGCCTTGGTAGGCGGCGACGGCCTGTGGGAGCGCCAACGGGTCCGCCAGGCCTGGCACACGGAGAGAAAGGGGCTGCTGGGGTGGGGGCCCCGTAGGGGAGGGGGCGCGGGTGTGTCGAGGGGTCCAGGGGACTGGGGTCAGCGGGAAGAGGCACTGGAGCCCCGGGCAGCAGCGTGTCTGCAGGGCCCTGCCTGCCGTGCGCCGGCAAATGCCTCCCCGGGAAGTGCCGATTCCGGGGCGGGTGGTGCCGGGCCTCGGCGCACTCACCGACGTCCTCGCTGGCGAAGCGCACCAGCCTGCGGGCCACGTAGAGCGGGTCCTCGCCGCCCTCCAGCATGCGGGCCAGCCAGTAGAGGGACGCGCTCTGGTCGGAGCCTCGCATGGACTTGTGCAGGGCCGAGATGCAGTTGTAGTGCTCCTCGCCTGCGGGGAAGGACGGCCTCGGGCCTGAGGGCTGCAGGGAGGGGCAGGGGGCTTCCCCGGCCCAGCTCCAGGAAGGCACCACACACACACACACACACACACACACACACACACACACACACACACGCAGCACACAGGACGCACAGCACTCAGGCCCGCCCAGGCCCCAGGAGACCCTCCTCTGGGCTGGCATCTACCCCGGCCGGTACTTCAGGTCCTCCAGGGCCAGAACCTCCAATGGCTTGTGCAGGGTCCAAGGGGGAAGCCCTGAGCTGAGAGGGACTCGGCACACCACCAGGCAGGAAGAAGGAATGTACTAGAAAGGCTGCCCACCAGAGAGGCGGCAACATCAGGCCCCTCCCACCGACTCAGAGCGTGGCGCCCGAGGGCGGCTCCGGTGGAGTGTCCAGTGGCCACGGGGCAGCAGGGGGCAGCGAGGCCTGGCCCTGCCCGGAGCTGGAGGTGGGCCCCCACCACGGCCCAAGGTCTGGACAAGGGAGGGGACATGCTCTCTCAGCCGCTGCGTGGTCAGCTGCGAGAACGGCGGCAACACAGCTCAGTCCCGTTCGGTCCCCCCAGCCAGAAACATCCCTCCGTCCCCTGGGGGTGGGGTCATCAGAGTCCCTACAGGTGCAGGGACCATGCCCCAGGAGGGGCTGCACAGGGATACTGAGGCCCTGGGAGGGCCGGCCTGACCTGAGGCATCACTCGCCCGTCCCCACTTGTGACCACTGCCCGGGAGATGGCGGGGCCAGTCGCGGCGACTCTGGACAGCGCCACAGAATAAGGTGCTTGGGACACGCGCAGGCGGGAGCGGGCCGGGACCCGGGAGGAAGGGCCTGACCCTGTCGGCCCCAAGGAAGGCAGCCCCCGATGGCCGGCTCCCGGGCAGGCTCTGGACAGTCCAGCGGGGAGGGCGCTGGCCCCTGTCCCTGGCCCTGGAGCGGATGCCCACCCCAGTCCCACACGCCGCTGCTCACCTGCCCGGTCGTAGAGGATGTGCGAGCGCTGCAGACCCTCCTTCACGTCCGCCTCCGTGACCAGCAGCCCGGAGGGGGGCGCTGGCCCGTCCGTGCTCAGCCGGGCCAGCAGCGCAAGCTGCAGCGCGTTCAGGCCGGCCCGGGCGTCCCCGTCGCTGAGACAGGCCAGAGTGTCCACCGCTTTGTCCTCGATGAACACGCGCGGCCTGCAACACGAGCGGGCCGGTCACCCCTGGACACGGCCTTCGGGAGCGTCCCGGTGGCCCTGACGCCGCCCCCTCACGGCCGGGGTGAGAAGCCTCCGTGGCTGGGCAGGCCTGGTCACTGCAGGACGGGGACATGGCACTGGGGGGCCTGGCCGACAAGGCCGGGCAGGAGCTTCAGGGGAGGCCATGACCTGCGCAATCCTCGGGCTCCTGCCCACACCTGTCCCCTTCACTCCGGCGCCTGGAGAGCACTCCCCCAGGAGTCAGCTCTGCCCAGAGCACCAGTGTGAGGCCACCAGGCGGGAGCTGTCAGGGGGCGGTCAGTGGCCGCCTTCGAAGGCTGTGGCCAAGGGTCAGGCCCACGTTCCCAACTGGCCCTGAGCAGAAGGGAGGGCTGCAGCGGGCAGGTGTGACGGCAGGTGACGGGACGGTCCCGGGCACGGGTCGGAAGGGGCGGCCCTAGACCAGGGCTGGGATCTCTCCTGAGCTTCCCACGCGGCGGCTGCATCGGGTCTGAGTCTGAGCGTCTGTCCAGCCTGCGGTCATGTATCCCGGCCAGAGCAGGCGGCAGACCGAGGTCAGGGCTGGCCTTGGTCACTAGTGGTCTGACACAGTTTAATAACCGGGTATCGGACCCTTTCCTTTGTACCAAAACAGGGTTAAGGACAAGGATGAAACCCACGTTCCTGGTAGGGACCTGCTCCCCTGGGCACCATGCCCCCTCAGGAGACCCCCACGGGGTCACGGGGGGTCAAGGAGTCGGTGTTGACCAAGTGGGGTCAGCAGCTCATCCCACCCTGCTGCTCCATAGTTGGCCTGGGGAGACGGGAGAGAAAGGAGCTCCGAACCCTGGACCCCGGGGAGGCCGCGCCGCCCAGGCTGGGCTACCGGGACAGGAGGACAGGACATCAAACCCTTAGCAGACGGGAGGCTCCCGCCCATGCCCGTACGCCCGACCGTGTGTTTGTGTCTGTGGCGGCCTGGGGACGGGGTCTCCGGAGAGGAGAGTCCTTCCCAGGACTCGGGAAGGGCATGGCTGGCTCTGTCTCAGGGGCTCTCCGTGTCCCTCACTCGCCCTGCCGGGCAGCCCGCGTGGGCAGAGTCCCGTGGCCAGGCTTGTCCACGGGGAGCGGGCAGTCTGGGGCCTGGGGCAGCCCCGATGACCAAGCACGGGGCCCAGGCTGCAGGCCCCCACGACCCCCACGGGGGGAAGACGCCCATGGCAGGCCCCCACCTCGGCCCACCTCAGCATCTGCAGTGAGACGCAGCCAAAAGCTCCGGGGAAGGGCCGCCGGGGCCCCTGGGGACCCTGGGAAGGTGCCACCCGGTGGCAGCAAACCAGGCCACGCGCGGCCCGGCTTCCCGGGGCTCAGCTCATTCCTCCCGCACCTGTGACAGGAGCAACTGGCCAGGCCAGCCGCGGGGACAGCTGCCACCCAAGCCGCAGCAACCATGCCTTGTACTTTAATCCTCCTGGGCGGGGGAGAGGGGGGGTGGCCAGGGCTGGGGCCGGGCAGGCCCCCCGCAGCTGCCGGGGCCTCTCAGGGCGGATCAGGTTCCCCCGCACGAGTTCGGCGGACGCAGGGCGAATAAGTACACGGGAGAACCTGGGTCCTAAGTCGCCCCTCGGGCCAGCGGCGGACACAGGGCTTTCCCCGCGGAGGGGCACGCCGGGCCACCCCGCCCCGTTACCCAGCCACTCTGCCCGGGAGCGACATCAGCCCAGCAAGACGGGAGGTCACGGGAACGAGGAGACCCGTTCTGAATCGAGCGCTCTTAAGAGTGAACTGCAGGGGGGAGGGCGGTGACCCTGTGCCTCAGTCTCCCCTCTGCCTCTTCCCTGACGGGCATCACCCACCAAGAGCCCAGTCTGTCCCAGTCGTCCAAAGTAGGTAGGGGACCGCACCCGCAGCACGGAAGGACGCCCGAGAACCCAACCAACAGGCCACTCAAGCTGGGGACAGCAGAGGCAGTGTCAGAGTGCTGCGGGGCCCCACCCCCTCCCGGCTGGCTCTCCCGCCCGCCCCCCCGCCCCCGCCGGCCCGCTGCACCCCCGCCGCCCCTGGCCCCCCGCCAGCACAGCCTCCGGGCGCCGCCGGGACACTCCCCGGCCACTCACTCAGCACCACTGCTGTCACTGCTGTGGCTCAGAGGGTCCGCGGGGCAGCTGGAGTCCAGGACGCGGACCCCCAGGGAGTTGAGCGCGCGCGTCAGGACCGTCACCATCGCGTCCACGGACAGCTTCTCCAGGACGATCACCCGGCAGCGGCTGAGGAGGGCGGCGTTGACCTGGAAGGACGGGTTTTCCGTGGTGGCGCCGAGCAGCGTGATTGTCCCGCACTCCACGTGAGGCAAGAAGGTGTCCTGCCATGGGGGGGAAGCAGAAGACACGCGCCCTGGTCAGTGGCTGCCCACACAAGCCCACGTAAGTGGCCGAGCCGCCCCCCGCCCCCCGCCTTCCCGATAAGTGGCCTAGCCGTCCCTTCCTTCCCGTGTAAGTGGCCTCGCTGTCTCTTCCTTCCCACGTTAAGTGGGCTCCCTGTCCCCTCCTTCCTGCCCAAGTCCCCTAGCTGTCCCTTGCTTTTCCTACTCCCGATGGCGGCCTTCTAGCCTGCCGTCTGTACCGCCGCCAAGCAGGAGAGCAAGCGCTGTCCGGAGAAACAGCCTGGACACTGCTGATTTCTTCTACCTCAACGAGGCTAAGCTTAACCCAGCAACTCCTGAGAAATACAAATCTATAACGCTGACAGTAAGACGTGACGCTTTCCAGTGGAGGAGGTGAACGAACGTTCCCGTGTTCTACAACGACTAGTAACTCGGCTGAGATCTCTCCGTGGTAAACTCGGGGCCAAGCTGCCTGACACACGGCCCAGGGACATGTGAGCAATGAGAGGCTCCGAGGAGCCGGGCGCGACCCATGTCTCCCTGTGGACAGAGGGCGAGAACGCGCCGACCAAGCCTTTGTCCGGGTTCTTGGCCTCCCCAAGTGATGGTGCTCGATCCTCTGGTGTCCAGCGTGGGCCAAACAAAAGGCCAGAGAGACGCTCGGCACCTGCTGTGACTTGTTGAAGCGGTGGATCTCGTCGATGAAGAGGATGGTCTTCCTCTTGAAGAAGCTCTTCTCGTTCTGGGCTTGCTTGATGACGTCACGCACGTCGGTGGTCTTGGCGCTGGTGGCCGACAGGGTCACGAACCTGACGCCGTGCTTCTTGCTGTTGTTGGCTATGATGTGGGCCAGGGTGGTCTGGAAGAGACACGCGGGGGCTTGGGGTACTGAGGAGACCCCAAGAGAAACTGGGCACCACCACCTCCCAGACCTCCCGGGGGATCCAACACAAGGGGCCTCAGTGTGGAGACCAGCCTGAACACCCGGGCATGCTCTCCCCGTTACAAACAAGCTCGACCAGAACCGGGCCAGAAGCCCAGTGTGGAGCTAAAGCCGACCTCCCCCCTCCAAATCTCCCGGGGCTCCCATAGCTGCCTGGAGGTGGCTGGGGGAAGGGGCAGCGGGGGGCCCCGGGGAGCGCTGGAATCCAGGCCAGGAGCAGCTGTCCCGACTGGGCAGCGCCCGGTGGACAGCTGGGAGCTCCTGCAGCCAAGAACTCGGGGCAGAACCCGGGCGCAGAGCGGCACCCTCAACCGGGGTGACAGCGGGGAGCTTCAGCACGGGGCTCCGAGAGCAGAGGGCGCCCTGGCCCCCTGCAGGCCACTCTGACAGCGGAAGCCGCGGGCCAGAGGCCAGGGACCTCTCACAGCCCCGGGCCCTGACTGGTCCAAGGCTGCCGCAGTGCCAAACGGCCCCGCGTGTCACGCCCAGGCCACTCCACGGGGGGGCGGGGGGGGTGGGGGCTGCAGCTGCTCCCCATCCTGCCGGCTGCGGCCACCCACAGTGGATGAGCCACTGGGGGGGGGGGGGGGCTCGGGGCAGCGGCAGGATGGCCAGCGAGCAGCCCCCAGCAGCAGGGGCCAGGAATGGGTCCCCGGGGGCAGGAGCGCGCGACTGCTGCTGCAGGGGTCCTGGGGGAGGGGGAACAGGAGCGCGCGCCTGCTGCAGGGGTCCCGGAGGGGTAGGAGCTCGTGCCCACTGCTGCAGGGGTCCCGGGGGGCAGGAGCGCGCGCCCACTGCTGCAAGGGTCCCGGGGGGCAGGAGCGCGCGCCCACTGCTGCAAGGGTCCCGGGGGGCAGGAGCGCGCGCCCACTGCTGCAGGGGTCCCGGGGGGCAGGAGCGCGTGCCCGCTGCAGGGGTCCCGGGGGGCAGGAGCGCGCGCCCGCTGCTGCAGGGGTCCCGGGGGGCAGGAGCGCGTGCCCACTGCAGGGGTCCCGGGGGGCAGGAGCGCGTGCCCACTGCTGCACGGGTCCCGGAGGGGCAGGAGCGCGTGCCCACTGCTGCAGGGGTCCCGGGGGGCAGGAGCGCGTGCCCACTGCAGGGGTCCCGGGGGGCAGGAGCGCGCGCCCGCTGCTGCAGGGGTCCCGGGGGGCAGGAGTGCGCGCCCACTGCTGCAAGGGTCCCGGGGGGCAGGAGCGCGCGCCCACTGCTGCAGGGGTCCCGGGGGGCAGGAGCGCGCGCCCACTGCTGCAGGGGTCCCGGGGGGCAGGAGCGCGCGCCCGCTGCTGCAGGGGTCCCGGGGGGCAGGAGCGCGCGCCCGCTGCAGGGCCCAGCTCCGGGGGCGCAGGCAGGTGGCCGTGGGGGCACGCGAGGCGCCCACCTTGCCGCAGCCCGGCGGCCCCCAGAGGATGAGCGAGGGCACCTCGTTGGCGTCCAGCAGCGCGCGCAGCAGCGAGTCCCGGCCCAGCGCGCGGCTCTGCCCGACCAGGTCCCGCAGCGCGCCGGGACGCAGCTTGTCGGCCAGCGGCCGCCCCTGCAGCGCCTGCCGGAGCCCGGCCGCCCCGCCGGGGGCACCCGCGGGGGTCGGGGCCGGGGGCGCGGCCGGGGCCGGGGGCGCGGGCGCGGCGCCGCCGTCCCCGTCGCCGCCGTCGGACCCCGACGGGCGCCGCCGCTTGGGCGCGGGCTGCAGCAGGCAGCGGTCCAGGTGCGCGTTGACCTCCGCGGCGGGCACGGCCAGCTGGCACACGGGGCACTGCACCTGCGGCGGCGGCGCCGGGCCGGCCTCGGGCGCGCCCCGCTCCATGCCGCGCCCGGGCTTCCCGCGCCCGCCCGACGGGAAGGGGCGCCGCGCGGGGCCTGCCGGGAAATGTAGTCCGCGCCGGCTGGTCGGCCGCGGGCGGGGGCAGGGCCGGGCCGGAGCCTCGCGCGGCCTGCTGGGAAGTGGAGTCCGCGCCTCGTCGTCGGTCACCGGCCGCCGCGGCCCCGCCCACCCGGGTGTCAGCGCCTCGCGCGGCCCGTCGGGAAATGTAGTCCGGGGGGGGTGACGCGTCGCACGGCCTGTCGGGAGTTGTAGTCCGGCCGGCTCCCCCAAGTGCTCTCAGAGGCTTAAACTATCCTGAAGATATTTTCCTTACAAGAACTTGGGGCTGAAAATGCCATTTACTGCGTTGCTAGCTGCTGTGAGTCTCAGAAAGAAAGAAAGAATGGAAAGAAAGAAAGAAAGAAAGAAAGAAAGAAAGAAAGAGAGAGAAAGAAAGAAAAGAATGGAAAGAAAGAGAGAGAGAGAAAGAAAGAAAGAAAGAAAGAAAGAAAGAAAGAAAGAAAGAAAGAAAGAAAGAAAGAGCTGGGAGCAATTGCACAGCAGGTATTGCCTTGCAAGCACCGGACCTGGGTTCGATTCCCAGCATCCCATAGGGTCCCCTGAGCACCACCAGCAGTAATTCCTGAGTGCAGAGCCAGGAGGAACCCCTGTGCATCGCCAGGTGTGACCCAAATACACAAACCAAAACAAACAAACAAAAAAAGAAAACAAAGACTTTGAACATACAGGATAAAACCTCACAACTTACCAGGTAATCACTAAATTTATTTTCTAACCAATAAGTACATTGAATAGGGAATGATGACATCTTGGAAAGCCTGACGTTTGCAATCACCTGCCACTGATCACCTCCGCAGGGGTCTGTTCCCCTCTGGAAGTGTGCTCTGTCCAGCCGTACCTTCCTGGAACGAGTGTCCCGACATCTGTTTGGTCAGAAGAGCCTGGCTGGAAGAACATCCCCGGCGTAATTCCCTTCCTCTCATAGGGTCTCCTGACAGCTGGCAGGAGCAATCCCTGAGCAGGAGCAAGGAGTAAGCCCTGGGAACAGCTGGATGTGGCCCTCAAATTAAAAAAGAAAAAAGGAACCGGGATGAAGAAGAAATGTACATATGGAACGGAGGCGGAAGGGCAGCAAGAACCCTATCACGGTGGGGGCAAAATTCTAGTTTCTGAAAAAAAACGTTAATTTCTCAGCTCTGTTCACTGGAAGGATGAGTTCCGTGATGCCGCAGGTGCTGGCGTTCCCACCTCCTGGGTCTGGGTCTGGAAACGCTGTTCTCGGGAGGAAGCCTCCTTTGACCAACGGCAGGTTCTGGAAAGAGGCAACAGAAGTACCAGTGAGCCTGAAGCATCTCGAGGCAGGAAGGCAGGTCTGAACACAGCACAGATTCGCCACCAAGCACGCTGGGGGGTGGGGGGCCACTGACCAGAACCGAACAATTTGGACATGAAAAAGATTGCAATTAGGAAAAAAAATCAGTTATTTGTAAGTCCACTAATTCCTACTTTTTAAGCGAGGGAGAGAGGAAAAGAGATGGAAAGTTCTTCTTTTTTTCTTTTTTGCTTCTTGGATCACACCCGGTGATGCTCAGGGGTTCCTCCTGGCTTTGCACTCAGGAATCACTCCTGGAGGTGCTCGGGGGACCCTATGAGGTCCTGGGAATCGAACCCAGATCAGCCGTGGACAAGGCAAACACCCTCCCCACTGTGCTATCGCTCCAGCCCCTGGAAAGCTCTTTTTTTTTTTTTTTTGCTTTTTGGGTCACACCTGGCGATGCCCAGATGTTACTCCTGGCTCTGCACTCAGGAATTACTCCTGGCGGTGCTCAGGGGACCATATGGGATGCTGGGAATCGAACCCAGGTTGGCCGGGTGCAAGGCAAACGTCCTACCCGCTGTGCTATCGCTCCAGCCCCTGGAAAGTTATTTTTTTAAAAAAAGAAAAATGAATATGAATTAAATGTAGAGGAAATGGTAGAATCTAAGACTCCATTATTAAATAATTTCTATGCCAATAATTGATTCCTGTCAGCAGGGAGAGTGCAAACATAGAGTCATTGATTGATAAGGAACAGGAAACACACAAATTTCAATGAGCTGCTTATTATCTACAAAAAGAGGAAAAGCATGATTTTCTATGGGAAAAGTTTGCCAGACACTGTTTATTCAGGTCACCACACTGAACCTCAGGGGTCGATGTGCCGTCACCAACCTTCTCTTGTGACATTCTGGGAAAGAGCCAACATCTTGTATATGGTCGCCAGGTCAGACCAAAGGCTTTTCCAGACACGAAGAAACAATCAGGCAATTGGGTTTTGGATGTTTCGTTTGGTAGAGGGTCTTCAGAGTACGGGAATACTAAGGGCATCCAGGTGTTTTTTCCTTTGTCCTAAAGACTGAATATTATAGTTCCTCAATCAATAACCAGGAGACTAGAATGATAAGCCAGCCAAGCGCAGTATATGGTATTTTCTGGAAAAAGCATCTTCATCCTTGGGAGAAAGAAGCTGATATACTTAGGGATAAAGTCTAGAGTTATGGCAGACGTAGAAAATACTGTCATTTGGCGACAACGTGAGCAGAGAAAATGATGTCGGATGGAGATAGTTACAGACGCCTTTAAATGGAGAGAAAACCGAAACGTTAAACCCCAACTGAAAAGCACTTCCAGAGTGCTCCAGCAGGGGCCGCCAGAGCTGACTCTGGGAAATAGCCGCGGATCCAACCCGTTCTCTTGCACCTGTCAAGAATATTTCAAGGGAAGCACCTGGATTTGGACCCTGTGATACGTGATCCCGAATAATGGTGCAAATCCGGAGTTCTGGGCATCGTCTCAAACCTGGGTCAGCTGCGTGCTATGCAAAGGCCCTCTCTGCTATCCTATGCTCTGGCCCCTATGTTCGTGTTTTAAACCTTTTCCCTGCAAACCCAAGGTTTTTTAGTCTACAGAGGGCAGACTGTCGGATTCTCTCTCCCGGCCTTGGGAAGATGCAGCTGCCTGGGGCCCGGGTCCTGTGGGTCCCAAGCGACACACACGTGACCAGAACTTACCTCTGGGTTCTGTCTTTGCAGCCCCGAGGGAGGCGTCAGCGAGAGAGGCGGGCGTCTGCTTATCTGCAAGCCAGAGCCGGAGGGCGTGGGGGGTCCCTTCCTGCGTGTCCCCACCACCATGTTCCCGGGGAGGAGGCTGCAAGGACTCACGCCGCGTTTCCACGGCCCCCGGCTGGAGCAGCGCCCGGAGAAGGCCGAGAGGGCCGGCAGCCTTCTGGAAGGTCCTGGCACCCAGGACTCCAGCGCTGGCGCGAACAAGGTGAGCAGGTGGTTTTACTGTCCTCCCTTGCAGGGCGTTGGTTCTGTCTTTTCTTTTCCTGGGGGTGAGGATCTGTGTGGGTGCCTGGGGTCCATCGGGCTTGGGCTCCCCTTGGCTCTGTGCTCGGGGGTCACTCCTAGAGGGTCCGAGGCGGTTGCTGGGGAATCGAACCTGGGTTAGCCACCACTTGCAGAGCAAGTGCTCTAACTACTGGACCATCTCCCCGGCCCCCTGGTTCCAGTCTCGAGATCTTTGCTTTACCCAAGATAAAGCTCCTGGCATGTTCAGTGGCCCCTGGAAGTGCCCCCAGGCCATTCTGAAGCCTCACAGGGCACTTGGCAGGGCCCGCAGATACTGCCGCTGCCACGCTGCACGTGTTTGCAGGACCATCAGAAGGGTTTCTTTGCTTTGTTTTCTTTATGGATGCACCTGGTGGTGCTCAGGGCTTACTCCCAGGCTCTGTGCTCAGGGATCACTCCTGGCGGTGCTTAGGGCACCCGGCAGAGTCCTGTCCTGCTGGGTGCCAGTCTCAGCGGTGGGAAGTGACATCTCACTGTTGCTCTTTTTTTTTCTTTTTTTTTGCCTTTTGGGTCACACCAGGTGATGCTCGGGGGTTACTCCTGACTCTGCACTCAGGACTTACTCCTGGCGGTGCTAGGGGAACCATATGGGATGCTGGGACTCGAACCCGGGTTGGCGGCGTGCAAGGTTAATGCCCTACCCGCTGTGCTATCGCTCCAGCCCTTTGCTGTTGCTCTTCTTCGTATTTTCCTGATGCTAAGTGCCGAGGAGCACTTTAACGCGAGCCTCCGACCAGAGGGATGCTGGCTGAGCTCTGTTTTCCGACGGGGCCGTGCCAGTGCAAGTCTAGAAGGCCAGTCTGCGTGGCAGGCGAGGACTAGGGGCGCAGCTAACGAATCCGGGTGGCCGGTGGCTCCAAGAGAGGGAGGCTGGGGTCCCCCTGCAGGGTCTGTGCCCCCAGCCTATGCTCTGCAGGAACGCCAGGTCCCTCTGGCCAGCAGGGGCGGTGTTACGTGCGCCTGTGTCCACCCCCGGGGTGGCCCCTCCCGGGGGTGGGCGGGCAGGGGCGGGTGCTGAGCGTTTCTGCAGCGGGGCCAGCCCGAGGTGGCCCGGGTGTCAGATGCCGTTGGCGGACACCTGTCCCGGATCCGTCAGCCGGGCCCTCCTGGCCGCCCGCCCCTGCAGCAGTGCCCGTGCACGGTCCGGTGCAGACCCCCGCGCCCCCTGCCCTGCGCAGCTGGGCACCCCGGGGCGGGATGGAGGCGGCGCTGCGCAGGAAGGACATGTGGCTGATCGGGGGCGTGTGTCTGCTGTCCTCCTCCATTCTCTGGCTCCTGCTCCGCTCGGCGCTGGCCCGGGCCGGCCTCACACAGGTAGCCCCTTGCTCTGCCCTGGGACCAGGGTGCCAGTCTGGGGGAGGGGCTGCCCCCCGCGTCCTGGGGCCTGATGCACCTCTGCGAGGGAGGGGGCTAGTTGCAGGGGCAGGCCTGGGACAGGTGGCAGCAGTGCCCAGCCGGGCTCAAGCACCCCTGGTTTTAGGGCAAGGAGAGCGAGGGAGTCAGCGCCCGGCTGGGCGCTGAGCTGGGCAGGGTGGCCGGCCGGAGCAGAGCGTGCTTTGGGGCTTGCCAGGGGGGCACTGGGCGCAGGGGCACTTGCTCTCGGGGGAGGGGGGGTGGGGGCAGCATTGCCTTCCCCGTGACCGCAGCTATTCTAGGCTGGGACCGCAGCCAGGAAAATGGAATTCTCCAAGAAGAGACAGATTCCAGGCGGCCGGGCGGGAGGGCTTCCTGAGGGAGGGGGTCCCGGGCTGGGGGAAACGCTTCCGGCAGACGGCATCCTTGCGCCCACTTGGCACCTGGTTCACCGATTTGTTGTTGTTTTGGGGTCACACACTGAGGTGCTCGGGGGCTACTCCTGGTTCTGAGTTCAGGGGTGACCCCTGGCGGTGCAGGGCCCGGGGGAGCCTGAATGGGGAGGTGAGGGCTGTGGCTGTGGCTGGGCTGGCCGCGGGCCTCACCCCTGCACTGTCTCTCCAGTCCGGACCCGCTGGTTCTGTTTGTGTTTGGCCATAACTGGAAGTCCTCGGGCCTTACTCCCGGTTCTGCGCTCAGGGGTCACCCCTGGTGGGCCCGGGAGACCATATGCGGTGCCGGGCTTTGAACCCGGGTCAGCTGCACGCAAGGCAAGCGCCCTGCCTGCTACCGTCTCTCCGGCCCACTGTTCGCAGACTTGGTCCTGCTGCCTAACTGTATGTCCCCCAGCAAATCCTTTCTTGGCGGGGAGAAGAGTGGATCACTGGTTCTCCACAGACAAGGCGGATTGTGTGCATGGGCTAGTTCGGTGTGTGTCAAAGGTGTGTTTCAAAAGGTGCCTGTGTTCACACAGCCGACGAGGAGAACTTTTCACAAACGCACGTTAAGAAATTCTTATTTCGGGGCGTGAGAGAATATTGTTTCTCTCTCTCTTTGGGGCTGCACCCATGGCTGCTGGGGGTCCTGCAGGCTGCGAATAAGCCTGTGCTCAGACGGTGGGTGGACTCGAGGCTCAGGTCACTGTGCTCCGGCTCCCCCTGGGACCCGAGGCCATGAGCGGTTTCCTGAGCGTTTGTCCTGTTCTCCAAGCTCTGTCTGTCTGGAGCTGAACTCACACACCAGGCATACCCCCCCTTGGCGTCACTTCCAGGTCTCAGGACAATTCAAGTGAGGTCGCTTTGCTGTGATTGGTGGAAGGGAACTCAGAGCTTCTTTCTCTGAAAGTCCAGGGAGTCTGGTCAAGGCAGAGACGTGGCAGGTCGAGTCCGTGGTGCGGAGAGCGGCCACGAGCGCCCGGCACCAAGGTCGGTCCCTGCACCAGGTCTTCATCTGCTTCCCTTTCCTGTTGCAAAGTGGACACTGGGGTCTGGACTCAGTCCTTCACATCCCACCTCCAAGATTACTTAAGTGTCCCCGGGACTCCACTGTTAATTGTTTTTTTTGTTTTTTGTTTTTTTTTTTTTTGCTTTTTTGGGTCACACCCGGCGATGCACAGGGGTTCCTCCTGGCTCTGCACTCAGGAATTACCCCTGGCGGTGCTCAGGGGACCATATGGGATGCTGGGAATCGAACCCGGGTTGGCCACGTGCAAGGCAAACGCCCTACCCGCTGTGCTATCAACCCAGCCCCTCACTGTTAATTGTTTTTGCATCGCCTCATATACAAAGATGAGCAAAGTCAGTGAGATTTTAGCAACGGTTTCAGGTTTCAGTGATGGTTTCATGGTTTCAGGGTGCTGATACTAGATTTTCGGACGTATAGACAGACACACAGACACACAGACACACACAGACACACAGACAGCCACACAGACACAGACACACACAGACACAGACACAACACAGATACACACAGACACACATACAGACACACACACACACACACACACACCACATGCACACAGCCCTTTACTGGCCTGCAACCTTGAACATCACCCCCAATTCTCAGCAGCCTGGTGGTCCCAGGTCTGGGGTCTGGACACTGGCTCAGGACGCTGCTTCCTGGTCTTTGTCCCCTGCCCCCGGTCCCCTGGCCCCCAGTTGTCCTTTTCTGTCACCTTGCAGTGACAGAGCGCAGAGCAGGGCTGGGTGATAAGAGGCAGTGGCGGCGGGAAGGGGAGGGGCGGGCACTCACAGCGGCCATTCTCCAGGGACGCCCCTCCCTCCACCCTCCCGCGACCGCTGTCCCTGTTGGGGGATACCTGGGGGTCCCCGTGCTTGCGTGCAGCCCTCCCACAAAGCTCCCTGGGATTCGCACTCCGACCCCGGTGTTTGCCTGCTGGCTGTGTGCTGGCATCAGAGGTCAGAGGTCAGAGGTCCGAAACAGCAGGATGGAGCTGTCCCCCTCATGCCGGCCAGGCAGGTGCCTCTGGACCCTGAGCCCGTGGGGAGAGACGCGGGGGCGAGGGGACGGGGTGAAAGAGCGAAGGTGGGAAGCCCAGCAAGGGTGGCCTCCGAGCTGGTCACTGGCGGGCGGACGGTGGACGGGGTCCCCCAGCTGCCATTGGGTGCAGAGACGCCGGCGTGTCCTGCTGCACGTGTGACTGTGGTCCCGAAGCTCAACCTCACTCTTGCCTTTCTCTCTGGGGGCTGGAGGAGCCGTGGCCAGTGGGGCGGTCAGTGGGGCCAGCACGGTGATTACCACCTTGCTCTCTCCGGCCCTCACCCGGGACTTGCTGTTTGGGAGGCGCGTGGTCTGTGGACCCATCGGGTCTTGGGTGCGGCTTTGCACGCACCCGCCGCTGTTGGGGACCCCCCCACCCCCCCAACAAGGGGGCAGACATGGGAACAGGAAGCAAGGGGCTTGCTTGGCCCCGACCCCAGCTCTGGGGCCGTGTCCCCGGCTGTCATCCCTGATGGCAAGTTGAGGATGGTTTGCTGACAGCCAAGCCGCATTTCTCGAACGTCGGGTCGCCCCTCACTGTGTGGACACGCCCTGTCCTCCATGCCGGCCAACCGTCCCAGGCACCTTGGTGGCCTCCCAGCTTAGCTGCGGTCAGGGGCACTGCTGGGACGGGGTCCCTGGGGCCCTCATGGTTCTGCTTCATTTCCCTTCAGCATCCCAGGGAGGGGGCTGGGCCTCACTGCTGTGGAGGGTCTGTCCCCTTCTCTAACGTGGCCTGCAGCGGCAGGTGGTTCAAAGGAAGCAGCCACACGGGTGTGTGTGTGTGTGTGTGTGTGTGTGTGTGTGTGGTGTAAGCTCATTAAGATCTCTCTCTCTCTCTCTCTCTCTCTCTCTCTTTGCTTTTTGGGTCACACCCGGCGATGCTCAGGGGTTCCTCCTGGCTCTGCACTCGGGAATCACTCCTGGCGGTGCTGGGGGACCCTATGGGATGCTGGGAATCGAACCCGGGTCGGCCGCGTGCAAGGCAAACGCCCTCCCTGCTGCGCTATTGCTCCAGCCCCTTTTTGTTGGTTCTTTGGGTCACTCCCAGCTCTGTGTCCGGGG